TGGGTCATCATTATGCATAACAATTCTTATTGTATATTTCTGAGATGTTACTGAAGTTGGATCAATTATAGAGAACCTTCAAGAAATTCCATAATGGGTTGGTTGTCTCCTGAATAAATTCCTGTTTTTCTCTTTATTTCTTCTGCCTTCTCTTTCCTTCAAATCTAAGTATATACAATATTGATTGGAACTGGAAACCACGTTTTTTCCTACTTATAATAGTCTTAAGCCCATTACTGACCATTCACAAATATTCTCATGTTTTCATGCCAGAATATTGCTGACTAGCCACAAGCTAACTCACGTTAGCGCTTACATTGCTTGATGCAGTTTTTAAGTCTAAAAGTAAGAAAGCCCTTTATAGGAGCTGGCTGCATGGAAAAGTTTGGCTTAAAATAGCTGGTCAGCCAAGTGTTAGCCAATTTTAGTACAGTCAGAGTGCTACTTCAAAGCAAAGATGGTGACACTTCATCTCCCCTACTTCGACAGGTTATCTGGAGACAGTAGGGGGGCAGCGAAGAAAAGGAAGATCCTTCAAGAATGGGCTCAAACAACAACCACTGACAGGAGAGTGCTCAGGACCATGCAGTATTTCCGTCTGCTGTGCATATGGTTTCTCTAAGTCGGGAATGACTTAGATGGCACATAAAAACAACAAATAATGATCAAAAGATGAATTGTTCTAATCCTAACTTAGACTCTAAACATTTGATTTCTAATTCCTACTGATATAGTTGCTTATCCTATACGAGTCCAATTCTTTCTTAATGCAAATAAATACATTATTTACTAAGAAAAGAAGAGTATGAAAGAAAAGCTCTTTTGACTTGTCAATTGGATACATTCTTTCCCATCCAGTAGCGCATAAAGAACTTTTAACACCAAAGAGATTGCATAGATTCTTAACCTGTAATAGATAAGGAATGGAATGCTTTTATAAGGAAGAGGAGAGAAAAGATGCATTGCGATTCAGATTTTTTTTAGAATGACTTTCAGTCATTTGACATACATTTCAGTATATCAGTTTATTAAATAATGGTGTTAAGAATCTAGTGTGCAATTGATGTAGGGATTGCTGTAAGAGCTGTAAGAGCCTCTTGAATCTGAAATCTTGGCACTGGACTCCTAACTTCCTGAGACTACTTGAAAAAATGATGTATTTTAAAATTATGGCTTTCAATTTAAATGAAAGTTGAAGATATAAATTACCATTTGCTGAGTACTTCCCACATATTGGTCATATTAATATACTACATAAATATACATGCATTTGTGGAAATATGTATATGCACGTGTGTTATATACAATGTTTTTAATACTAATATTTCTCTTACAAGAATTATTTATATATTTATAAATATGACCACTGAGGCTCAGAGAGGTTGAGTGATCAGAAAATTTTAATTCCAGTATGTGATGGAGATGACAATGTCATAAGGAACGGTAAAACAAGAAATCTTTTAGGATGAGAATTGAGAACCAAATGGAAGACAATATAAAATAATAGTAGGAAGCATTAAAAAGATCAGTCTAGAAAGATATAATAGCCATTTAAAAGCTGGACATCAAGGGTTGCTCCTAGTAATTGTGAATGGTCTCAACTGGATCAATCTTCTTGAACATAAAAACTGTCATCTCAGAAATAAAAAGTGTATGTGTACACAAAAACTGAAAAAAGAAATCAAACTTTTGGAGTTGATTCTCATTGGTAGTGACCCCATTGATACAGAGTAGAATTTCTCTATAGGGCACAGGGTTTTATTGCCTGGAATCCTTACAGAAATAGTGTGCCCAATCCTTTCTTTAGTGAAGTCATCCTGTGGGTTTGAACCACCAACATTTAACTTAGCAGCCAATGGCAAATCATTTGCACCATACAGGGGTGGTGGTGGTGGTGGTGTGTGTGTATGTGTAGCAATCTGCAAGGTTGGCAGTTCAAAACCATCAGCCACTTCTCAGAGAAAGACTAGTTTTTCTACTCCTGTGAACAGTTATAGTCTAGGAAACTCGCAGGGGCAGTTCTACCTGTCCTATAGTCTATGAGTCCGCATGGACTTGATAGCTGTGATTATCTGATATTACTGGGGTAGGGTACAGAACAAAATTTATCCATGACATTGGATCACTTATCATTACTATCTAATCCTCCAATGGTCACTCAACCAAACTAGCTTATCTAGTAAGGACAGTTGACAAGGCAGTTTGGGTATGTCTTTTATTATTGCCCGATTTTGTAACAGTGCTGAAAAGAGGGCTGTACAACTGGGAATTTAGAAAAAGGTTGTCTCATTATCTCTTTGCTTATTTTTCATATGAACATCCAGTCTGCAGCAGACTCCTCTTTTTCTGAAACTTCCCTCCCCACTCTTTATAGTCTCCTATCACTATATATATATATATATATATATATACATAGCAACAAAAAAACTTAGCATGTTCTATTGTTATATTGTACTGCAAATATTGTATTGCCTGCATCACACAACATACGTAAAGTTCTTGAATGTGGAAATTAATTATGACTAGATTTTTACAAGGGATCAGAACCACCTGAAAAGACTCTCCAAACTGTGATTCTAACTTCTATTCTTCAACAGAGCTTAAAAAAAATGAGCACGAGATGAGAAAATAGGAATTTTTGCAAAATGTCTGAGTCAGAGATGGTGAGATGTCTAATATTATGAGTACCAGTATGATATATGGCAAAATGAAATGTCTAATTAGAAATGTTCACAACTGTAATGTTTTCAGAATGCATCACAGATACCAAATACATTTCCTTATAGCAGAATAAAGTTTTATGAATAATCTGAAATGGAAGTTAATGAAATGTACCACAAATGTGTAAAAATAACACATTGGTCACTCCAAGTCAGTCCAGGGTATCTGTAACCTAATTGAAATCCTAAAATATTTTCTAATCAGCAATATATCCTAAAAGATTACAATCCAATTAAACAGAAATGTTATGCTCTAGGGAAGATTACAAGAAGTGTGCAACTAGTAAAGAATATTGGAAAAGGAAACTTGTATAGTTAAAAAAAATCCTGAAGGCTTCCCACATTTTCTATGGGAGAGTTTATTTAAGTCCATGGTCTTGTGAGTCAGAATTTTGAGTGCCCAATATTAGTCATCTAGCCAGATCTATTCATAGGCTGAAACTTTCAATTTATTAAACTAGTCCTAGATGAGATCTCACCCTTTGTTTAATTCAATGCTCATAAAATAAATAAATATGTGAATTTGCCAGTGTTTCCTATGTTAACAGGCTCTTTCTTTTTCCCTTATAGACTGAAGGGAAAATGCCTGATGTTTACTAAGCACGTAATATATGATAATGAAGTTCCTACACATTTTTCATAAATAGCCTATGCAATTCTCACCAAGATCTGAATAATTACAAGTAGTATCTCCATTTTACAAATGGAAACATTAAATTCACAGTCACCAAAGCAGCACACATATTGCACGGTGACACTGTGAATTAAACCCACTTCACATGGTTCCAAGGCCCCTGCTCTTTCTCTTCCACTCCGAATGGAAAGCAGGCCATTTTGCTCCATCCGTCACTGTCTGACAAGCTTGCTTAATGTGAGTCATTTCTGCTGGACCTACTCGCTCCATGAGAGACTGAAAAATCAAAAATATAATTCCTTCAAGATATTGAGACAAGACACTAGGCCCCATAATGGAACAATCCAACCCCTGGGCTTCTAGCATCTGAGGCTAGCAGTCAAATATCCACTTGTTCATCTGACCTGAATGTAGACAGGATCAATTCAGATCCTTTGTCATTAATTAATATGTGCTGAAACGATGTTCTAAACATTCAGAGTTTATAACCTTTTCATTCTGCATGCCTCAAGAATACTGGAGTATAGTTCCTTCTAGATAATGCTGGAGAGACAAATTAGCCTCTGAGCTACAGCCTACGGGTAAAAAGAATGGCTTGCAAACAAATAGCGCTGGGAAAGGAAGGTACATATACACAGAGAGAGTGACTCTATAAAAACATTCCACCAAAGGAGCAGACTCTTCAGAGCAGATGAGACCTTACTAAATGAGTAACCAGGAAATATAAAAATGTGAAGATGGCACAATGTTAAAGAATGCTTTTGCCTGATCTCTGGCCCCTGATTGCTAATGGCTGCTATTTGCACTTAAGAGTGTCATCACCCCAGCCTATTCACCCGTGCGTTCTTGGAGAACATTCAAGATGACCAGAAAGGCACTTATTAGGTGGAGAGAGCATTGAAAATGAGAGGAATTGGGACCTACAAAAGAAAGAGCTTCCCCCAAATCTCAAACAGTTAAGAACATATAACCATGGGGCAGGAATAAACAGGCAGCTGTCATCCTGTTCTGTGAGCTTGAAATTAAGGACCAAGAATTAATGGTGGGGAAAAAACTAGAAAGCATAAATGATATCAGGGAGTGTGTAGAGGGACTATGCTCTACTGAGGACAAATGTAAAAGCAGTGTCTCTTGAACTGTCTGGCTCATTTGCTGTACAGGTCCTTTCCGGAACCCGTCATGACAATGCACCTGCTCATTCTTGGATGCTATCAAAGGTGGGCCTGTGAGAATTTCATTGTGAATCTTGACTCCATCCAGTAGAGTTTGGATCTTGCCCCTTTACATGTCCTTTTGTGCCCTAAACTCAAGTAACATTTCATGGGAAGACAATTGAAATGGTTTGAGGGTGCCCACACTGCAGTTTTACAGGGGTGTTAACCTACGCGTGTAAACGTGTACACAGAAGGGCGACAGAGCTGCACACACCACGCTCGGTAGTCTGTAGAACGAGACCGTGTCTATGTTGAGAAACAATGACTTCACATTTTGATATTTTGTTTAGAAAAGGAGTCTGTGATTTTGTAGCAATACTTTTTACTTACCTCCAGAGAGGCAAACATCCTCCAAGGAGAAAACTCATTAAAAATGTTCATGATAAAATAATCCAACTTTTTGTAATAATACAGCTGGCCTAAGAAACTTACATTTAGCCATCTCAGATGTAATTCTCTCCTGATCCATGCACCGCGAAGTGTCGTGGAAGAGGAATAACTGGTTCTACGAAAGCAGCTGCTATTTCACAGGCACTAGTTGGGACAAAGCAGGTCGCATGCATTTTCGTTAGCTCATTTGAATCATGCTTGTGGTGAAAACTGTCTGTGAATTAAGAAAATCTTCTTTATGAAGGAAGAAAATTTTACAAAATGTCAATCATCAGGATAAAGCAATTTGCAGTCCTGGATAATTGCTATTATTGCCATTGACTAAATAACTTGAGAGAAAATACCTCGGTAACAAACAAACCCTTCCAAATTTCCAACTCGCCTTCTTGCATCTCTGAAACCCTGGCCTCAATATTCCACACTTAAATAGTATTACACATTCCCCATGTAAAATGGAATACACATCTGTGTTAGCTCCAAAAGTCAACAAAGGGCTTTTTTTTTATAAAGTAATTGCAAATTTTAAACTTTTCAAGAGAATTAGTCCTGTCTTGTTATGCAGGTGGTGCCCATTGAATATTCCTTTTTTTTTTTTTTTTATCAAAACCCTCCAAATTCCCAAAATTGCAGACCAAAAAAAAAAGCTTAGCAAGAAAGTTTTATTTTTCATCCAATTGCCTTTTAAAAAGTATGTCAAGCTGTTCACTGTTGGAAAATCCTTTTTTAAAGTTATGTAACATGCAAATACAATTTAGACTTGTTAGCATACAGACTAAAGTTTACTGGACATAGGGAGAGACAAATTAGGAAACACATTGTAGAGATAAAAATTCCATCAAAGCAGGCACTGAAATGTATGCTAGGGAGTCAATGTTAGAAGCAAAAACCCACCTTAATGGCTGCTACTAAAGATAATGTGGTGCTGACACAGGAGAAATAAGACTGCAGAAGGTGAAATATTAATGAAATTCAAATACTAGCATGTTACTTTAAGGTATGAATACATATTTAAAAATAAAAATATTAAGTAAATACTGATTTGTAGTTTCCTTCATGTTTAAGACATGGTTTTCTGAAACATGAGGTTTCATACAACAACATGAGGTTAAATTGCATTATATTTTTTTAGCTTTTAGAGATAAAATCCTAGATGCAGACTTAAAATGGTCATGCAGACACTGATTTTCTTGTACATATGGGTGTGATCTCTCTCAATTTTCAAGTTGAATTTAGAGAATACACAGCTAATAATTCCGTGTGTCTTGGAAGTTTTCTGGATAAGAAGACTGTGAGAAAATGATGAGAAGGTTGGGTATTTTTGGACGGTGTCACTATGCAATCCAAGCATTACAAGGACATACAAGGACATAGTATGCTACCTAGACTTTAATGAATGCTTTTGGCAGAATTCTCAACAGTTTGATCCTTTTTTAAAAAAGCAATACTGAATTTGAAACATCAACATATTTTTATTAACTTTATGTTCCACAAAATTACTTAGTATAGACATGAAAGAAAACTTAAGAAATTATTTTCCTCCAGCTATTCCTTACATTATTTTTTAAAATTTTTTCCCCTTACATTATTAACATTGTACATATTGTTTAAATATATTACATTATGCCCTGTGGAATATGGGCCTTTTAATATTCATGCAATTGAATTGTTAATCAAACTGTCTAATTTTAAAAAGAGTATAAAGGCATTTGCTGAAGTAGAACGCCAGATAATTTATATATACAGTATTGTGTATATATATATATATAGCAATCATTTATTTCACAAAATGTAATGTCATATAATTAATGGATCTCTGGAGTGCAGTGGTTAATACACTTGGCTGCTAACCAAAAGATCAGTGGTTTGAAACCACTAGCAGTTCCATGGGAGAAAGATGAGGCAGTCTGCTTCTCTAGAGATTTACCGAGTTAGAAACCCTGTGGGACAGCTCTGCTCTGTATGATAAAGTCACTCTGGGTCTGAATTAACTTGGTGGCAAGGGTTAGTTAATACATAACTAAGAACTTTTAGGGGGCCATCCCAGTTTCCTCCAGCACTCCAAAGCTGTTCTTTCTCTCTCTTTATTCATTGTACCTATTCTTCTACAAATCTACTTATCCACCTTCTCCAAACCATATGTCAGAGGAAGCAAAGAATAAAAAGGAAACTTTACTTATTTTTATATTTGTCCTGATGAGAAGCACTCATTCAATAACTATTGAATGGAAAGTCTCTATTAATTAATCCATCTCTTATTTCAGATGAATTAATTAATTCATCTCTTGCTTTCTCTCCCAATGAACATGATCGTTTTCTACCTATTTTCTGATATGCATATTTGACAGACGAATGTAAATATTTAATTTCCTTTATTTTTACTATTTTTCTCTAATATTAAAAAAATTTCCAAGTGGTTCTTCTTCTAGACGCAATTAAAATATATCTAGTGTGACTTCTGATATAATTAATTCTCAATAAAGTTGAATTTGACACGTGTTGATATGTACAAGAGAACATGTACAGAATATTAACACCAGAATAGGAGACATTTGGGCACAAAGTATGTTTTCAATAAATATTTCTTTGCTCATTTTTTTATTAAATCATTTTATTGGGGGCTCGTACAACTCTTATCACAATCCATACATACATCCTTGTGTCAAGCACATTTGTACATTTGTTGCCATCATCATTCTCAAAACATTTGCTTTCTACTTGAGCTCTTGGTATCAGCTCCTCATTTTCCCTCTC